AGAAATTTTCAATTATTTATTATCACTGAATGTATCAAAATGCTTAAGTGCACTTTCCTGACGAGAAGCGATCAAAGCCACTGCCACAAGGTAAAGGAAGGCCAGTTATCAGTTTGCACACCTTTCCAGGCCTATTTAAGATCCTGGATTTATTATGGTGATAAGTTTATACTATCTACAAGTGTCCCAATTTGTGATGAGTTTAACCGCATATTTACTACATGCTTCTCTTGTTCTTTAGTCGATTGTAAATTGCCGGTAATAATATTAAAAAAACTAATCGATTTCTATTTTTAATATAGTTGGAAGACGTTATGAGGAAATTACAATGGGAAAAAAGGGGTATTAATATAAATGGTTAATATTTGAATCACTTGAGATATGCAGACGACATTGTAATAATAACATAAAAGGGAAGAATTACAAAATATGATGGATGAATTAAATAGCGAATCAACAAAAATAGATCTACAAATGAATTGTAATAAAACGAAACTTATGACCAACTAACCAGAAGAATTAATAATTACAATTGCACAAACAACTATAGAACATGTCAAAGAATATGTATATTTGGGACAACTAGTTAAATTAAATAAAGAAAATCAGACCGGAGAAATAAAGAGAAGGATACAGTTGGCTTCTGTATCTTTCGGAAAACTTTCTTATATACTAAAAAACAGAAAATACCCCAATATTTAAAAACAAGAGTCTTCAACCAATGTATACTTCCTTTTCTCACCTACGGTTTTCAAATTTGGACGTTTACAAAGGAAAACATGGAAAAAATAGCAAAGACTCAAAGAGCCGTGGAAACGCAAATGCTAAACATCAGGCTATCACACAAGAAGAGAATGGATCAGCAACAAAACAAAAGTGACCGATGTATTAACGCAGATAGCAAAACTTAAGTTTAAGTTCGCTGGACATACATAAGACAGAAAGACGACCATAAACTGGAGACCATATAGCTACAAACGAAAAAGAGGAAGGCCACAAATGAGATGGTCAGATGACTTGAAGAAACACGCCCGAAGTGGATACAAACTGCCCACAATAGAGAGACGTGGAAAAGGAAGAGAAGGCCTATGTCCAAAATTGGACAGCAAGTGCTGTATAGATAGATAGAATACGAAGATCATGGCTGAAGTCAACGTTTATTGCTCTACCAAAGAAAACAAAATCCGTATCCTGCAATGATTTCCGGACCATCAGCTTAATGAGCCACATTTTAGAATTATTTCTAAAAATCATACATCAAAGAATATATAGACTATGCGAAGAAAAAATCAGCCGTACACAGTTTGGTTTTCGGAACGCAGTGGGTACGAGAGAGGCCCTCTTTAGCATACAAGTGCTATTTCAACGATGTAGAGATGTGAATTGCGATATTTATGCATGCTTCATTGATTACCATAAAGCATTTGATACAGTAAAACACGACAAGCTGATAAAGATATTAACAATAATTACTATTTAAATGGAAATAAGCCACAACTAAAAGTTATAGTAAGTTTATTGACGTTTCAATATCTCAATTCTAAACTTACTTTAACTTTTAATTGTGGCGTATTCCCATTTAAATAGCAATTACTTTAAAATGCCACAAGAAAATAGCTTCAAAATAATAATAACATATTAACAAATATTGGAATAACTACCTGAGATTTACGAATTATTATCAATCTTTACTGGAATCAAAATTGTCAACCGTACAGAGGCAGGAGAATCCGATGATATCATAATCAAACGTGGTTTCCGACAAGGATGTATACTGTCACCCTTGCTGTTTAACATATACTCTGAGGAAATCATTTATGAAGCAGCAGAAGATGTTGTAGCCAGAATTCGAATTAACGGAGAATGAATGAAGCCCACCAGGAGTTAATGAATAGAATCACAGAAGTGAGTCAGAGATATGGACTTTCACTCAACGTTAAGATAACAAAATGTAAGATGATCTCTAAGCAGGAATGGTCAACCAATAGAAAGAATAAAAAAATTACACCTACCTTGGTATGAACGTCAATGAAAATTGGGACCATTCTCTAGAAATAAAATCTAGGATAGAGAGCAAGATCTGCATTTCAAAAAATGGCTAAGCTATTCAAATGCCATGATTTATCAGTACCCATAAAAATCAGGTTACTATCATATTATAACTTTCCTATACTATTGTACGGAGTTGAGTCGTGGACTCTCACAGACGCCACCTGCAACAAAATTGGGGCTTTCGAAATGTGACTTTATCGTAGAATCCTGAAGATACCCTATACCTACCACGTTACTAACTAGAACGTTTTATCAAGAATACAAACAGGAAAAGAGTTGTTAACCACAATAAAAACAGCCAAAATTAAATAACTCGATCACATCATGAGGAACAGCGAAAGATATGGGTTGCTGAAATTAATTCTTTAAGAAAAAGTAGAAAGAAAACGCAGACCAGGAAGGAGAAGAATTTCCTGGCTGAAAAATCTACGTACGTGGTTCAACACAACAACCACAAATCTTTTAAGAGCCACAGTTGGCAAAATGCAGATTGCCATGATGGTCGCCAACATCCGAAACGAATAGGTACTACAAGAAGAAGAAGAAGAACATAGATCTGCTCAAATTGATGGACAGCTCTGAACCGAGTAAGACCAGTACAAAATTAACGAAGCTTTTGAAAGCATAACTCCCTTTTTCTTCTCCAACTGATGAAAATGAAAAAAATTCAACAAACCAAAAGCATCTTTAATAAAAAATCTTTCAACTATCAAAAGAATGCTCAATACATCAAATGGCAATCTCAACACAACAAAGTCGATTTTGTTTCCTGAATGACTGCCGTAAAAGGACAATTTATTAATAGTATAAATGCAACTTCGACTTCGAAAAGGCCTTTGACCGAGTAAACCATGACGAACTTATAGGTATCTTGCAACAGGTGGGAATTGATAACCGAGACCTCCGTGTTATCAAAAATTGGTATTGGCATCAATGTGCAAATATACGAGCTGGACACAACACGACGGAAGTAGTGGAAATACGACGTGGAGTGAGGCAAGGATGTATTATATCGCCACTAGTTTTTAATATCTACTCCGAATTTATTTTCAAAGAAGCCTTAGTTGAAGATACAGGCATTAAAATCGATGGAATTAATGTCAACAATCTCAGATATGCAGACGATACGGTACTTATTGCCTCCAATAAAGAAGACCTGCAACTACTTATAAATAGGGTAACCGAAGAATGTGATGAATATGGGCTAAAACTTAATACTTCTAAGACAAAATTTATGGTTGTCAGCAAAACGGAGTTACAACCAACGAACATCAGAGCGTATGGAATAGAGTTAGAAAGAGTCCACAATATTACCTACTTGGGTGCAAACGTTAACGATAACTGAAGCATAAATATAGAAATAAGAATACGCATTGAAAAAGCCAGAGCCGCCTTCTATAAATCAAAGAAAATTCTAATTAATAGAGATATTACGTTAAAACTTAAAATCAGATTAATACGCTGCTACATATTCTCCACATTGCTGTATGGTATGGAGAGCTGGACCCTTACAGAGACATTAATGAAAAAATTAGAGACCTTTGAGATGTGGATTTATCGACGAGTATTGCGGATAAGTTGGGTTGATCGAATAAGAAATGAAATAGTTTTACATCGAATGAAAAAGAGCACAGAAATAACAAAAACGATAAAAATTCGGAAGTTACAATACTTCGGTCATGTAATGAGACATCCAGAGAGGTATAACCTTCTACACCTCATAATACAGGGTAAGATCGACGGAAGGAGAGGCCCAGGCCGACGAAGAACATTCTGGCTACGAAATCTCCAAGAATGGTATCAGGAAACCACCGCTAATTTATTTTGAGCCGCCGTGAATAAGGTTATTATTGCCAAAATGATCGCCAACGTTCGATAATCGGACAGGACACTGAAAGAAGAAGATAAATGCAACATGATTCCAAGACCTACTACAAGACAAAAACTTATTATGTATACACCAAAGGATATTTTCTATAGCTCGAGCACTAGAAAATCATTTAATCGTTACACATTAGTAGAATGTTCTAAAGAATAATGACTCCATTAGATGGAATTATTCAATAAAATTAAAATGGAATCTGATTTGAACTTTTTAAAACGCTGCATCAGAAACAAATATAATTAGAAGCACATTATTGTTCCAGAGAAGCATCAAACAACAAACAAAATGTTTCCATCAAATTAACTTGCATTTAAATCACACAAGATTAATTAAATTCTTTAATTCATTTGATAGAAAAAATTAAACAGTATGTGATGTATGTAATAGAATTATTCTCAATGTGGGACACAATAAACTCATTAAAATGTATTCAAGAAAAATCCAATATTAAACTCTCTGGCATACTAAAAACAGTAGAACAAAAAAAACGCATATTGTAAATTATCTAAAATCAATTCAACTATTGCATAAATTGTAAACTAATAATCAACATGTCGCCAATAACCAAGAATAGCTGATGTGACAGTAATTATAAATAAGAAGTAAACGAAAAAAAAATTTTTAAATTTGATAAGTAAAAGCTAAAAAATAATATTTTTTAAATTTTCACAAAATTTATTTAAGTTACATTATGTTTAAGTCACAGTTTATACTAAAATGCTATATAATGTGTGTTTCTACATAATGCTATGTAATGCTGTATAATGTGTATTTCTTTATAATAAAGGTGCTGCAATTTTCATTTTAACATTTTCTAACTGATTGTCCTATGTGAAATTAAAAAAAAAAGTTTTTATTGCTGTGTACAAATTTGTTTTTTTTTTTGTTTATTATTTATTTAAATTGGTCAGCTGTTACCTGTCTTCTCATATTATCTTTAATTTCTTGTTTGTTTTTGTTTTATTATAGGTTATAATTAAGTAAACGTGTTTTTCAAAGTGGAAAAACAGTAACTTTTTGTTTTAATAAATTTAGAAATGTTAAGAAATACTCAAAAACTTACCCGACTCTCCTTCACCATGGTCCTCCAGTTTTGCGTCCTTCGTTTGCCGAGGCCTGTGCCACCTTCTATGTGAAGCCAGATTTGCGGGACAATTAAAAACTTTATCACACTCAGGACATCTGTATTCGATATTAACGATTCTAGAACATCTGTGCTGAGCCAATCCGAAGGCATCTTCGTACAACTCTCTGCACAGCCTACACACATAATCTCCTATTAAATTTTCAATCTTAGCTAATTCGGCCTTGGCCTCTTCGGTGATTTCAACAACGTTAAATGCTGGGTCTATGTCGCCCTTTCTTACTACTAGATTTTCATCAGGTCGTAATTCCCGAATTATAGTTCCTGAAACCGGTGAAGTGTTGTCTTCTTCAAAATTAAGTTTCCGGATAGCTTTAACTTTTTTGGCTGAAGTTGGAGTTATTTTCGATTTCTTGAACGGTAGTTCTGGTGTCGGAGATTGGTGACTTCTCTTGCTACCAGGAGATGGAGTGCACGGCGGAGTAATCGGCGATTGATTATGTTGATTCTTGACACTAAGATCCAGAGGAATAGCAGTGGTAAGTTCTAGCGGTTCTGTAAACTTGAAGAAATGTTGCTGAAGGTGAAAAAATTGAGGCTCCAAAGCTAGCCTCTGCAGACTCGTATAATGATTTCTGAAGTTAGCGAATTCCATATCATGATGGTATGGCACGCGAGGCATCCCTCGCGAAATGTCACGGCCTACTGAAGCACATTTCTCGACGGTAACTTCTTGTAGTGTTGCATCGTTGAGCCCCAATAGTGTTTACACCCCGCCTCGGATACGCAGTAAGCGTGCGCTAGGTGGGGCGACCGACCTACCCTTATTGGTCGAGGAACGGAACTTTCTGCGTATTGGTAAATCACGTTCTACTGTGTTCAGTTGATCGTAACGGATTTCGGACGATTTTTCGTAACGGTTTTTAGGCAATTACTGTTCGCGTACAATCATTAGAGGGATTCCCTTGCAGATGTCGATTTTACACCCTTGTTGTAAATAGATAGGAGTTGTGATAGAAGCCCTTCGGCGGATTTTTAATGTTTTTAATTACAATATCCACCACAGAGAGTGTTTTCTACACTCACAAAAATAAATTAACAATTAAACAAACATTTATTTTATTATTTAAATAAAATATCTAAATATTAGCAAAATTATAACACAGTACCTATTATTTTTATAAATGGTTATTACTACCAGAAGGTATTTCTGCAAAATTATTAATTGCCAATTTGAAGTATAAAAAAATTAAATACTTTGCGTTTCGAAAGTAATCTAAAATATTTTTGTTGACGATTTGTCCTTTAATCTTATGACTGAAAGGTCCTAGAAGATGTCGATGGCTGAAAGCAACAGAGGAATATTTTGACAAAATTCAATTTTCAACATTATTACAGCAAAGCAACCAAAAGAGTCCAATTTATCATAACAATACTTAGATAACATGTATTAAAACCCACCTTAACAACTATGGGGAATAAACCAGTACCTATTATACTGGAAGCAATTAACTAATTTAGTCAAAGCAACACTGAGACAAACTGAATAACCCACTGTCGCTTGTTCATTAGTAAGAAAACTATTAGAAACACTGAGTCATTCTGTTTGTCTGTCAAGTTTTGTGAGGTTAGGTTTGTTTATAATATAATTTATTCATTACGAACAAAATTTATTGCACACTTGTTGTTTTAAATAAAAAACTTTATTAAAGTATCAAATATAGTGAAAGTGTTCTAAAAATCATTTCACGTGGTCAATTAATGTGTATTCTTGCCACTAAACAAGTGGACAAAACTGGGACAGGACAGCAAATCTATTGATGTAAATTTTATTGCATTTAAGTGACATTATATTTTTTTTTGCTTATATCCGTGTGGAAAGTAGAAGTAGAAGTAGATAGAACTGACTGGTGTATTTGGAAGGTTGAGGCTCTTTTATAGGGCTGTAGCACCAATGATGATGATGGTGCTCCTTTAACTTGATCTGTTAACGGTAGCATTTTGTTCCTAAGTTTGATTTCTGAGGCAATAACTTTGCGTTTTCCCTTCGAGAACCATACGGCTTTACACTTATCTATAGAGGCAGATAGGTCATGTTTTAACAAACATTTTTTTGCATTATATAATGCCATATTAACTTTAATAACCATTTGTTGGATAACTGATCCTTTAACATATAAAACATATAAATCGTCAGCATACCCATTAATATTTATATTTTTAGGAAGAATGCTGAATGAATGTGAACCCTAAGGTAAACCTTTGGTTGCTTAAGATGGGCCCATAAAGACAAAATTTTAAAAATAGATATTGATTATAGGACAAGGAACATTTAAATTTTGTAATTTATTATAAAGATAATCTTCCAGCGGAATTATATAAAGAAGGTGGCCATGATATCATAATAACGCTACAGTAGCTTATAAAAGAAATATGGATACAGAAGTCCCTTCCCAGTGATTGGAATATTGAAATACTTTGCATCATACACAAAAAGGGAGATATCTTTGAATGCTCTAACTATCTAGGAATTACGCTCCTAAATGCAGCGTATAAAATATTCTCCAATATACTATGCCATCGTATGGCATCAAATGCAGAGCGAATAATAGGACAATACCATGCTGGTTTCAGAGGTGGTAAATCAACAATTCATCAGATTTCAACCCTGAGACAAATTCTAGAGAAAACACTGGAATACGGTGTAGATACGCACCACATATTTATAGACTACAAGGCAGCCTACGACTCTGCAAATAGAAGAGAATTGTTTAGAAAAATGATAGACCTAGGAGTACCAAATCAGTGGGTAAGTCTAACCAAACTAACCCTTGAAAAAGTTAAATGCAGAGTACGAATCCAGAGTACGGTTCAGGGGGAACTCTCTGAACCTTTTAATACAAATAATGGGCTACGTCAAGGAGACCCACTCTCCTGAATACTATTCAATCTAGCTCTGGAAAAAGTAATACGTACGTCACAAATCACAACTACCGGTTCAATATATAACAAATCTGTACAAATTCTAGCATATGCTAATGATAACAATATTGTTGGGAGAACGGAAAACGCAGCACGAGAGGCGTATGTAGCACTAAAGGAAGCGGCTACAAAAATTCGTTTAATAATAAACATTAATAAAACAAAATACATACGCAATACAAAATAGGTACGCAATCATAAATACTACGACAACTTGTTATAGAAAACGACGTCATCGAAGCAGTTAACGAATTTGTATAACTGGGAACGTTCGTCAATACTGAAAATGACACTACCTCAGAGATAAACCGCAGAATTTGCACGGCTAATAGATGCTATTTTGGGCTTAATCTCCTTTTTAAATCTACAGTTATCTCAAGAAATACAAAAGTAAAACTCTACAATACAATACTACTACCAGTCCTAATATATGGATCAGAAACCTGGGCTTTAACAAAAAGCAATGAAAACATGTTAGGATGCTTCGAAAGAAAAATAGTGTCTGGAGAAGACGATACAACTTCGAACTCTATAGAATCTACCAGGAACCAGATATCGTAAAACACATTAAGATATGACGTCTGAGGTGGGTAGGCCATGTAATGCGGATGGAGCAAACCGACCCAGCTAGAAAAACGCTCCTTGATAGACATATTGGTCAAAGAAGAAGAGGAAGATCCAGAACAAGATTCCTAGATAACATAGACCAAGGATATGAGAAATATGGAAATAAGTGCTTGGCGAACGAAGGCGATGGATAGGGATGACTGGAAGAGAATTCTTGGGGAGGCTAGGACTCACACAGGGCTGTAAAGCCAAAATGATGATGATGATTTATTATAAAGTTTATTTATATTCACATTATCATATGCTGATTTGATATAGGTGAAGACGGCAAGGAATGAATGGGCAGACTCAAAGGCTTCTAAAATAAAGATATGAATGAGGGCTGTTGTTGGCAGTTCCTCTACCTCTTCTAAAATCTGCTTGTGTATTTTTGAAAACGAGATTATGTTCTAAAAACATAATCTTATTATCTCAAACTCTAAAATCATCTTTATTTTAGTTCCGTAATAGCAATTTCAGTGATCTTTTAGATAGGTTTGACTGTATTTTCAATAAAGCATTTCCTTTAATTACAATTAAGTCAAACATCATAAACCCTGGACTACCAAAGGTATCCGCATATCAGCCAAGAATATTTATCATCAATATCTTTACAACATCTTTATCAACGTCAAAATCTTTATCAACGTCTGTTTTGCCTTGCAATTGCAAAAAAATAATGTATTTCCCGTAATATTGTATTCTTTTAATTTGATCAATACAGTAGAACGTAATAGAGTGTCGAAGGCGCTATTCATGTCAAATGATGTTATTAAATCTTGTTTATTTTGAAAGGCGGTTGTGATCTCTGTAACATGCCCAAGTTGTCAGTCGTGCTTCAGGGTGGACATAATCCGGACGTGGCTGAATCTAAAATTTTGTATTTTTCTAGATATTTTTTTGTTTATTAGTTTTTCTAGCAGCTTACGCAAGGTGCATGTCAGTGAAATAGGATGGTAGGACGGTAGAAAAAGTTTTTTACGGCAGATATGGGAAGATGTTTGAGGAATATGAAAGGCATATTATCGGGACTCGCAGATGAATTTTTGCAAGTTGTGAGAATATTTAAAAGTTTCTATAGTGTAAATGAATTGTTTAAGACAGTGGAGTCAAATGAAGTGTTTAAGACAGTGGAGTCAAATTTGAGAGATTGGAAAAGATATTGTAGAGGAGGATTTCTTTCTTTGAGTACAGTTAGTTACTAAAAGAGTTAATACTATTATTGCAAGAATATGATAACCAGTAAGGATAAAATATCCAAATACTTTCTATTGAAAAATTATACTACACAATAAACTTTGAATTTTCCTATTTCACTAAAATACAATTTTACAATAACATTTTACAAATTTATTAGTGGACAGTTTTGTAGTAAAATATATTTATCGTGTTTTTACACAAATATTTATTTAGTTATTTATTTAATTAGTTGTCTCTCCCATAGAAAATATTTTCAACAGCTATATATTAACCTAATATATCGGTCAAGGAAACAGATTACTTTTTCGTGTGTATGTGCACTATGTAGGGTGGCTAGTTGGTTTTATCTGGTACACATTTTCCATGAATTTATTTGTTGTGCTTCCTGTTTGATTTTTAAATTCGTCCGTTAATTCATTAGCGATTTGTGTTGAATCATTTCCGGGAGAATGTTTATACTTTTTAGGGTTTCCTACAGTTCCAATAATTGTTTCTTTTTTATAACTTAAACGGTTTCTCGACGTAGGCGACTGTCTGTTACTGAAATTGAATGTATAAGAACTTTTTTACAGAGATATCGACGCCTTTTTACGCTGTTGCTATTAGAGGAAAATAGTTTTTTAGTTACTACATCAAAATCATTTAGATTTGTTGTCTCTGTTGGAGAATTATTGTGTGAAATTTACATATGATTGGAGTATTAATTTAATAAATTTGATCAGAAATATGCAAATGGGTTAAAAGTCTTCATAAGGGATCTCCATAAGTTTTTGTATCCTTCCGTCGTTTTTTAAGTGACTGTAGAGAAAATAGTCAATAGGATTCGTATCGGTTGATCGCGGTGGTCATTCGATAAAACCATGCCTTCCAATCAATCTTCTGGGAAAAATATTA